ACTTAACTGGAATTTATATTAAAACACAATCATATAAAAATTAATCTAAATCCAACACTGATCCCTAATAATGATAGAAATTAATAATTACTAAATTATAGCACAACGGCTAAACTAAATAAAAGATATGTTGAACCTTAATTTATGATTTCTGCTAACGCCGCCAAAATCAGTGGAGGATTTAAACTACAAAAAATGGTCCCTGAAACTTGACTGAATAAAAAAATAAAATGTCAATTTAACCCATTTTATTAAATATTGAGGTTAAATTTATTAAATTATTTTACACTATAACTGAATTAATTGACACTATAACTGAATTAATTGAATATATAAATATAAAATAAAAAAATGTATTATTAAATTAAAATTTAAAACTATCACTTCTGAAATTTTAGTGACCTATTTAGTAAAAGGATTTATTCAATGATCGTAATAAAATCCAGCTCATAGTTTAGTGACAAACAATATAGTTTACTTTTTTTTCGTCGACGTAAACCCAATTTCCCGCAAATTTTGTTTCTCTTTCTTAAATTCTTTCCGACATTCCCTCTTTTTAATCAAAGACGTAGAAAAGTTTTTGATATATTTTTATCAGCCTTTCTTTTGTCGTAAAGAATAAAAAATGTCATCACCGTCAACGGGGGCTACTCCGGCTCCATCACCGCCGCCACCATCAACCAACTATACTCCTCCACCCTCAACAGTAGCTTCAGTTCCGCCGCCAACTAGCACTCCTTCCACACCCCCACCAACAGCAGCAACTCCGCCGCCAACTACCACTTCCTCCACACCACCACCAGCCGCTGCGGCTCCGCCGCCAACTACTACTCCTTCCCCACCACCTGCTATTCCATCTCCTCCTCCAGCTACCCCATCAGCTCCTCCACCTTCAATCACCACTCCGTCCCGTCCTCCTCCCTCTACTTCATCACCTCCGCCTACATCATCCACCTCCCCCCCGCCACCAGAAGCGGAATCCCGGCCCCCATCATCATCCAATCCTTCCATTCCGCCTCCCTCTACAACAACTCCATCGCCACCTGCCCCAAGAAGTCCAGGGACTCCATCGCCACCACCTCCTAGGAATTCGGGAACTCCATCTCCTCCGACGACGCCGACTTCTTCCGATTCGAGCAGTGGGATCTCCACCGGGCTTGTAGTGGGGATAGCAATAGGGGGAGTGGCGATATTATTGGTTTTGAGTTTGCTGTTTATATGTTGCCAAAAGAAGAGGACAAGGAGAAGAAGAGACGACGAAAGTTACTACGTGCCTCCTCCACCTCCTGGCCCTCCTAAAGGTCAGAAAATGGAATCAATTATGCATATTTATTAATATAATTAGATTTTTGGTTAGATCATTGGGAAGATGGATAACTCTGAATATGCTTTTAACTTCAGCTTTCACATGATCAAAAATTTTGACGGATTAAACACTTGCTTTTGTTCACACTGCGTCCTTTGAGCGCATTGTTATTCTTAATTGAATTTCAATTTTGACTGAGTTCGGAGATTTTATCTTTACTTGGCTGTTTGTGAATCATATAGGCATACGCATAATTGTTAAAGAATTTGGGCGATATCTTATTTTCTTGCCTTTTAACCATCATTCATGGAGCTTGTTGATTTTTACTTCCAGATAATCATGGTGGCCAGCAGTACCGGTGGCAACAAAATCCTCCCCTGCATTTCGATCATCATGATGCAGTTCCGCCTAATCCAACTCCTCCTCCGGTTACGGCATGGGGACCTCCATCTTCGGAAAGCTCTTCTACGCCACCAATGCCACCGCCACCGCCACCGCCACCACTTTTCATGAGCAGTAGTGGAGGTTCTGGCTCTGAAAATACTGTTCCACCATCATCACCCGGTCTTGCACTTGGTTTCTCAAAGAGCAAATTTACTTATGAAGAACTAGCAAGGGCGACGAATGGCTTCTCTGACGCAAACCTTCTCGGGCAAGGTGGTTTTGGGTATGTGCACAAAGGTATTCTTCCGGACGGGAAGGAAGTGGGGGTCAAGCAACTGAAGGCTGGAAGCGGACAGGGGGAGAGAGAATTTCAGGCAGAAGTCGAAATTATCAGCCGTGTTCATCACAGACATCTTGTTTCATTGGTTGGATACTGTATCTCCGGGGCGACCCGAATGCTTGTTTACGAGTTTGTTCCGAACAACACTTTGGAGTTTCACTTGCATGGTAAGATTGTCTTCGGTGTATTGTGAATGCTAAAGGACATTCGATTCTTATTGTAAACTGATCTGAATATTGGATACTAACTGCAGGAAAAGGGCGGCCTACATTGGACTGGCCAATCAGGATGAGAATTGCTTTAGGATCCGCAAAAGGACTGGCTTATCTTCATGAGGATTGTATGCTCTCTTATTCTCTCCCCTGCATAATTTGTCTAGATGTAGGATCTCAATTTCTTACTTTTGGTAACCATCATTATTGTTTTCAGGTAATCCAAAGATCATTCATCGTGATATTAAGGCGGCTAATATTCTTTTAGATTTCAAATTCGAGGCAAAGGTATTGGTTTCATTTTGATTCTTGACATTGCTAAATTGAAACTGTGTACTGTCTTGCTTCATTTGGTTACCAAACATATATGTTTTTCCCCTCTTGCTACATTTCCATTGAGATTTTCATGAAATTCTGTTTTCAGGTTGCCGATTTCGGACTAGCGAAATTCTTTTCCGATCTCAACACTCATGTCTCCACCAGAGTGATGGGTACTTTTGGGTAATAATACTTTATGCGTTGTTGTTGGTTGGTGCGTAGGATAAGTATTAAAAAGATTTGTTAGTGGTTTTAATTCACTTAATTCTCACTTTCTCCAGGTATTTGGCTCCAGAGTATGCTTCGAGTGGAAAACTCACTGAAAAATCAGACGTTTTCTCTTATGGAGTCATGCTTCTGGAATTGATTAGTGGACACAAACCGGTTGGCTCTTCTTACGCGGAAGACAGTTTGGTCGAATGGGTTAGTTATTACTTTGGTTTATAATGGTCTGGGACAAGTTGCAGCCGCAGAAGTGTCTATTTAAGCTTCTTAGAATCTTTTTTTAAGTAAACCTGTTTCGGTATTGTAGGCTAGGCCTTTGCTCTCAAGAGCATTGGAGGATGGGAACTTTGACAGTCTGGTCGATCCAAAGTTACAAAAGGAATATAACCAAACGAGATGGCTCGTATGGTTGCTTGCGCTGCTGCCTGTGTGCGACATTCAGCACGACGCCGACCACGAATGAGCCAGGTAAATGTCGAGTTGGTATTAACTGATGGTTCACGAGTTACTTTTTTTTATGTTCCCCTTATGATTTGACTCTGACCATAAACTCGAAACCAAGCAGGTCGTGCGTGCTTTAGAAGGAGAATCATCATTGTCGGATCTCAACGAAGGAATGAAACCCGGACAGAGCAATGTATATGACTCATACGGAAGCTCGGATTTTGATTCAAGCCAGTACAACGAAGACATGAAAAGGTTCAGGAGGGTATTAGGATCGCAGGAATATGGCCCTAATAGCGAGTACAGTGAGTCTACGAGTGAGTACGGTTTATACCCTTCCGGCTCAAGCAATGAAGGGAAAACCACCCGGGAAATGGAGATGGGAAGGATGAAGAAGAGCAAGCAAAATGATAGTGGAAACTCAACCTCTTGACCATGGTACACCTAATCTTCTTTGTAAAGGTCACATTCCTGTCCAAATTCCAGAGTTTTTTTATATATATTAGTTATTTACACGCAAGTAAATAATGGATACAGTCACTTTTGGATTCTTTGATTTGTTGTTGAAAATATCATTTGGATTTGTATTTATTAGCTTCTTTTTTGAGTTTGTAACAAGTTTGTCGCAAACTGTTGAGCATCCACCTTTGATTGACATTGATTAAAGAAAGCTTCACTTTCAATTTTTTAACCACTGGTTTTATCTCACAAACTATTGACACGACAATCTCTGAACGGATCTACTTGCAGGTCTTATTTCAGCTTCTTTATCAATTTATTGGTGCCATATAGGAGTGTAAGTGAACCAAGCTTTTTGTGTTTGTTTATTCTTGAAGTGTTCATGATCATTTAAATTTTAAGTTTTGTATTCGTATTAATTTATTTATTTTTGAAGGTGTTCATATTCGTTTGTTTATCGTTATAGAATATTTTCATTTAATTTTCGTGAATATGTTCATTTAACATGTTCATTTAATGTTCGGTAATAAACACTCTTTTCCTCACTTGATTGCAAGCCAAAAAAATAGTAGAGTTACATCACTAGTCCTAGTTCCTTAGGAATCACAATTTGAATTCCAAAGTTCATCATATGTTCAATTTAATCCACACCTTCATCGATATTTAGAATCAAGTAAACGAGTCAAAAAATGAGCTCATAAATGAGCCGATAAATGAACTTATTAATAATCATAAATGAATCGGACATATCTTTGTTCGTGTTTGTGCACGAACTAAATGACATCAGTGATTAAGGGGATGATTGTTATCCTTAGAGGTCCCAGATTCAAACACTAACAATTACAAGGTATTTGAACATCCATAGTTAAATGGTTGAGAGTCTTTATATATTAAATGAATATAAAAATTTTGTTTACACTCGCTTATTTAACTTAATAAATAAATAATTTGTTTAACTTAGTAAATAAATATAAAACGGACGCACACAAAAGGTTAAAAGGGTTCTTTAACAATTGATTGAATGCTTTGTTCATTTTCACCTCTACCGGGAAAATAATAGTGAAATTTCATAACCGACCGTCACACTGGAAATGCCCATATTCTTAATATCATTATAAAGTTAACACTAGTCTGTGAGTAGGTGAAATCGCAGCCGGGACACTAGGCCAGCCATACCAGAAACAGGTGATTCATGGTTCAGCAGAAATGTGTAAAAGACTATGCTGCTGCTGCAAGTAGTTGTGTTCAACTTCAAGTGGTAGACTACATCATAATGTGTTCCAAGGAAGTATTCATGAAATATATATACATATGGAAAAGAACTTGGACCATTTACATATTTCAATCCATTTGACACACCTTGGTGCCATCTAAATTTACAATTGTCAACATTACCAGTGAAGATTTTGAATCTGAGGCACGGTCGACACTTCCGGCTCTGCCTCCTTATATCAACCTAAGCTTATTTACAATGCTGCATCACAGAGCACTTGAAGTTTAGCATCTGCTGGTCCAGGGTCTGTAAAGTGGAAAGTTAGGCACAAATCTCCTCTATCAATCCGGTTAACAGCTGCTTCTCGATATCGACCACTACTTGCATTGTTTCGTTCACAGAGAATCCGTTTCTCCAACCCAAGTCCCATATTCCACTTGAAACTTCTTTGAGCTTTAAATCTCTTTCCAGCATTGAGTAAAGACTGCCGGTTGGATAGTTTTCACTGGCAAGTTCACTATAGCTTCTCAGAGACTCGATGCCATCACAAATTTCCTTCAACAAATGATCTAGAGAGATATGACTTTTGACATTTCCGACCATGGATAGAAGTGGAGAGGGGAGCATTTGAGATTTGGGAAAGCTTCTTTGTCGAATGATTTCGTTCACACAATCCAAGGAGAGTTGCGCATTGCCATCCGTGAAGTCGTTGACGCCGAGTTCTTGTGAAGGTATAAGAAGATTCACATGGAGATAAAAATGCTCCTCAACATGGTTGAGAAAAGCTGGATTGCTCAACAGCAAAGCTTTCAGTCTGGTCCCTCTCATGAAACTTTCACCGTCGGTTCCAATTGGTATGATGGGGTCATCATCGATGTCTCCGATAGAGTTTTGGTTCTTTTGATCATCAGTAGTCACCAGGCTAACATCACAAACAGAACTATCACTATTATCATGTTGTTCTACAAAAAAGAAGGAAAATTGAAAGAATTTGTTAGGTAAGCAGCAACTTTCTGCACACAGTTTTCTAAATATTACATAGCATGGTTAGCTAAAAGGCAGCTAAACAGTTCAATCTTAAACAAGGCAGCTGACTAATGTCGCATACATCAAATGCTTTAGGAAAATTTCTATCCTTCTTTATTACCTCTGCTTAGAACATCAGTGTGTTCTGTTTCCTCCTTCGTAGGAAGCCGATCTGCAGTTTCGTTGCTATCTTCTTCCAATGTAAGAGCAACCATCTTTTCTTCCGAAACTGTACTGTTTTCAGATACAACATCAATATTCTTCCCATCCCAAAGAATATCATCTCCTTCGTATTCTAATTTCTCAGTCTGCAAAGGAAATTGACCGCATTTAATTTTCGATGCCTGTTTTAAGTTTTCATAGCTTAATGCCTGTAGCAGAGGCATTTCCAATCTCTATGTCAACATGCTGTTTAATGAAAGTTAGAATTATGACTGCAGAAAATAAGCTTGACAGGACTCACAGTTAATTTAGCTGTTGTTGTAGCCTTGCTAACTGGTTTCTCCTCTCTAGTTGGAATCCTTCGCCGGTCTTTGGTAGCACGAGCTATAGTTTTCGGTCTGAGACTAGAGTTGGAGTTTGCAGTATAGATTCGTTGATTAGGCATTTTATATTTTGTAATATTTGATCCATTTTCAAGTTTACAGGACTTTGGAGGGTTAACCTTGGTTTCATCTTTAGACCTCGAAGAGTTCTTTGCTTTGGCAACCTCCTTGTTAACTGGTTTCGTGCGGCTTATCACAGGTTTCGGTATCCTTTTGATTTTCTTGTGAGTGGCCTCTTTTTTCAGCAATGGCATGGTTCGAGACCCCGAAGTTTTCATCTTCGTAGGATGCTTCTTTAAGGCCTCTTTCTCTTTGTTTTCTTTAAAACCTTCCCTCGAGCTAAGTCTCTTGATTGGAGCCTCTTGATTCGAGCTAAGTCTCCTGGTTGAAGGAGGCTCTTTTTCGAGCATAGTTTCTGTCTTTAAGCTTTCCTTCTCCTTAAACAATGGCACAGATTTATCTTGTGGTTGCAAGCATGGGTTAAGTCGAGGTTTTATGAGTACGATTGGAGGGAAATTGTTGATCAACTTCTGTTCCGAAACGAAGTCACTCCACTGATGGGAATCATTGTTGATCTCCTTGATGAAGTTGCTTTTCAATAGTCCTTTAAAATGCATGATCTCAAGTATGTCCTTCATTGTCCTACTCTCTCGGACTTTCTCCCGGAAAACGTATTCAGACTTCCTTACTTTTGGCCTACTAATTTCGAAGATATGTTTCGGTCGAACGAAAATCTTCTTACTCTCCAGCACTTCCTGGGAATTCGTCCGCAATGGTTTTGAAGGCAATTCTTCTAATCCCATAAGTTTTGCAACCAAACTGGGGCCTCTTCCCTTCTTCTCTTGAGCTGACAACGAGATAGACGAATCCATGGAAGTAAAGTTGTCGGTTCGGAGAGTTGAAGATCGGCTTGAGCTTGTCGACCGGATATCTGAAGCGGAGTCAAATCTCCCACCGAAACATCTCTTTTCTTCGACGTTTATGTTTGGCAATAGATTTTGCCTAGCTAAGCTGTCTCTAATCACTTCCCTAAGCTCCTCAATGCAATCTCTTGAAAAACCATCAGCAGAAAGGTGCAGATTTCGGCTTTCCTTGCAATAACTCCGCTCTCCAACCGGACTCGAATCCTCTCTCCGAATCACTTGTTCATTTCTCAGTCTCATCCCATCCCATTTCTCCTTTTCTTTCTTCCTCAACTTAGCCATATAATGAGAAGCTTCTTGCAATCTTCCAAGCACATGAAGAGAGTTCTGCAAATCAAGAGCCCCTTTGAACAAATCTTTCGCTGCATCTTTCGAATTCCCATCGCACCAAAGCCCTTTGGAGAATGAGTCAGTGACATGATTCAGCTCGTGAGCTCTTCTTGAAACCTCCAAGAGTTGATCCTTCACGTTCGATCGGTTCTTACGCTCCATCGTTGTCTCGGACCCGGCTTCGGACCTTCTAATTCTTCTGCACTCTACAACCCCCTTCGGATCATCACATGTAACAAATGATCTATAAACAATTGACCTTAAACTGTCTTGAGGCATGTTCTGTAAACCAAAAGCAACATTTATAAAACTAAGATGCTTGCAAAATACTCGGAAGAAAAAACCAAATCCACCAATACAAACATATTTCTCACCAGGTTATGCTTACATTCTCTTGGGGTTTCTACCCAGTTTTGACATGATCATCCAAAGCCGACAAAGCCAACACCTTGTTCGGCTCTGTTTCAAAACAACACAAGCAAAAACGTCAAACACTTTTTGTCCGCCGCCGTAATAAACAATAGCAACGCCATTAAAAAAAATGGGGAAAATATTACTCTTTCCTGTTGAAGTTTTCAACTTTCAACCTTTAGCTGTTGAAATCTGTCATCCAGACATCATAATTCCATGAGAGAAATAGATGAAGTAATTAACTTAGCAAAAGGGTAATCTTTTACATGCGAATGCATGTAAAAATAAAATAAAACAAAGAAGACCCAAGATTTTAAGCAGAGAACAGTAGGAGACTGGGATCCAATGCTAAAGAAGAAGGAAAACGGTGGGTGAACTGAATTTACACAAAATCTGTTTGGTTCTTTCTTATCCTCTATTAATAAAGGTTAAATTGACAATAAAAATATAATCTTTGAGAGTTAACTTATTGATTAGTGTTTAAATTATATATTATTTTATGATTAATTACTTAAGGATATTAAATTTCATAAATTATGTTAAGAATAATAAAATTGATTAATTTTTTATTTTTTTTTTAAATTTATGGTCGAATTAATAGGCATGATTTGAGACATGATACACCTGACATGACATCTAATCAACGTTGATGTGGCAGGTGACATGACACTCAATCAACAACTTTTAAAAGATCTAATAAGCGGTTTCTAAAAGATGGATGGATAATTGGAGCATTTCAAATAATTTAAAATTTAAGTTTTTAAGATTTATCTTTTTTATTTTTAGAATTTTAATTTTAATTTTTCAACCTATTTTTATGATTTTTAGAAGGCTACAAATACCCATTGAAGTAAGCCTAATAGAATAATCTTTTCTCTCTTTAGTTTAATAAAAAAAAAAATTTCGTTTTCTTTAATTTTCTTTTAAGTCAAGTGCTAAAGCGATGACTTAATTCTAACGTAAGAATTAAAAAACATTTGAATAACTTCGGAATATCTCTCTCAATATCTGTGTTTATTTTTCAAAATCAAAATAATTTTCAAAATCAAATATTGACTTTGGTCAAGATGTTACGATCAAATGTGTGAGATGAATGATCGACATATTGAAAACACATTCGACTTCTTGGGAACACACTTGACAAGATTGCCTTGCTAAGAGAGAATTAAGATTGAAATTAGTAGTTATTGAAACAACAATCCGAGTCGGTCTTCACGAACTTAAACGGTTATTGATTTACGACAATTGATGTTGATCAAATCAATTTCCAAAGCAGGGTCAAAGATTACCTTTGGTATTCAGTATACAAAGAAGAGTCACGAGGATTGTCCTTGTAGACAAAGTAACCCACGTAAATCCAAAGGAAAAATCTAATTTGATGATCCATAGAAATTGAGTAAAGCGATAGCCTAAGGTTGATTTTACCATATTGAATTATCTTTTAAACTTTTGTTTTAAATTTCTTTGAAATCTTTTTTATTTTTTCTTTATTTCTCTTTATATATAAATCCTCATCATTATTCAAATTCTTCTTGGCTCAAAGATTAAACAAAACACGAATAAATCAAAAAATTTCCTTAGTGTATGTGAGTAGTCTATTTTGGTTTCTTTTCATTTTCATTTACACCACCTATCAGAATTGCTTCGGCTTATTTACCATTGAAGTACACTTTAACATTAAAGTCGATCCTTTTAGTGGAAATCATGGGTATTGCCTTGCAGCTAAGGGAAGGAGAAATAGTTGGAGATCCCTATCAAAATCACCTTTCACCATCAAATAATTAATCAAACGAAGAGAATAAATGCAGTCACAAGACTCCTGCAATATCTATGTATGAATTGTGAATATCGTAAATGTAATTGAATCCTTGCTTCTCACCTCTTCCGTTGGCTGGTGCACGTGTAAAGGTTAATGCTTTCTTATTAACTTGGAATCTCCCTGCTCAGCCTACAGTAAGGTAATTTCTTTGGAAAAAGCACTCCACTAGTCTTTGTACTATATAGTATGGATTATATTTTGATCCTCTAATTTTAAAATAAGAAAATAAAATAGACTTAATTAAATGATATGAAATTAATTGACAAAATAACATGACATGTTCACATAACTTGATGTAGCCTAAAAGCACTCAAATTAAACTGATGAATAAAGCTTGAAGTTTTTTTGCTCATTTTAAAAGTATAAAAATCAAAATATAATCTTCATTATAGTATAAGGATCTGTATAGTAATTTTAATATATATATATATATATATTTAACTTTATGCTTGCTATAGTTTTCTTTTCCTTCATAATAATTAATTATGTTAACCATTTAGACTGATAAATAATATTTATAATAGAAAAAAGGGTAAACTATCTATCTAGTACCTAAACTATCAGTTTTGGTCCATTTTAATACCTAAACTTTAATTTTTTTCAATATCATATCTAAAATTCTATTTTTATTACATTTTAGTACCCTTTCGTTGAAAAACTTAACAAGTTTAGTACCTAAACTATCATTTTTTATCCGTTTTAGTACCTAAACTATTAAAAATTTTCAAAAGTTAAAGTTAACTTTTGAACGTGGTACTAAAATGAAATAAAAACTAAATTTTAGGTATGATTTTGAAAAAAATTGAAAATTTAGGTACTAAAACGGACCAAAATTGATAGATTAGGTACTAAACTCATAATTTATCCTAGAAAAAAAATAGTATATATCAAATTAAAGTAAAATGATTAAATTTCAAATTTAAAATATGGGTAAATTTTGCGTTTAGTACCTAAGCAATAAATTTTTATCCATTTCAATACCTAAACTTTCAAATTTTCAAAATTTAATGTTAAGTTTTTAACCAGAGTATTAAAATGAAACAAAAACTAAACTTTAAGTATGATTTTGGAAAAATTGAACGTTTAGGTGCTAAAACTGACAAGAGTTGATAGTTTAGGTACTAAAAACGTAATTTACCCTTTAAATATAACAGAAGGACCAAAACCATAATTTAGGCTTTAATTTTTAGAAAAAGACGGTCAGTATGGGCAATGGCTCCTCGTACTAATGTCTCTTAACTTCTGGAACTGATCTGATATGTGTAATTAATTCACAATCTTTAAGGTTTGGACATTAATTCTTGGCAGATTTGGTCAAAACTAAGCATTGCTTGGTGGAAAGAAATATTGAGGACCAACATTGATGACAAATTAAGGATATTTGATCTCTTCCATCAACCAAGAATGTTTCTGAAATCAGATTTTGATTTTAAGGAGAAAATAATAATGTATCGGTATTAAATTATGGTGAAATCAGAGTCGGATCGAGTCGAGGTCAGGTGGCTAAAAATGCACCTGACCCGCCTAATTGCCATCCCTATTTCCAGTTAACGAGCCACAGCAGTCAACCGAACAAAACTCCAACTAAAATGGGGCTGCTGAAAGAGAGGACAGTGGAGGAGTTGCAGCCATAGCTGGAAAAAGGAGAGAATTTAGTTAGAGCAGTTAAAACTTTGTCTGTTCTTCCAGGATATTTTGGGCAAAGATTTGTCCTGTCTTAACAAACGGCCATTTTTAGTGTTTTTTTTTACTGTAAAATAACAGAAAAACAACGTTAACCACTCGAAAGCTTTATCTCTTCAGTACAGCAGACAACTAATACATCCTGTTGGTTTCAATTGCCAGCCTCTCATTTCCATGGAGTAGTTTCCCCTGCACTAACAAACCGAACAAGGATAGTTTCGTTCCTTATTTATAGTCCTTTTCGGATTTGTTTCTTCTTCAATTTTTCCCTGCCAAAAAAATAAAACAAAGAAGAAGAAACACAGAGAGAAAAGAAGCTTACTTGACGATTGAACAATGGTTCGCGCATTGACTCGTCGGTACAGCACTCACAACTCGGGATCTTTCCGCATTATGAGAATGCTCGACAGTCCAGGGAGGCACCAGCAGCCGCAAAATTCGATCACGTGTGCTAATGATCACACGGATGATATCGATTATAACCTGAGAGAAAAAACAGTTCATCACCACCAACATATAGGAGATTGTTGGCCAGGAACTCCTCAGGAGAGGCCACCATCAGGTGCACAGTTCAGCATTTTTTTATGATGCAATTCATGTTTTCCTAATTTTCTTTCCTACCAAACACACTGGAATTCATTTTCTTGATAATGATATTCTTCTAATATATATATATATATATATATATATATTCGGGTTTGATATAGACATGGATATGATGAAGGAAAAGTTTGCTAAGTTGCTTTTGGGTGAAGATATGTCGGGGGGAGGAAAAGGTGTTTCTTCAGCTTTGGCTTTGTCAAATGCAATAACAAACCTAGCAGGTACAATACTCCTATCTAAAATCGAATAATCATACGCACAAGTTTTCATTCAGAAATTAAAATAGGAAAGAAACCCCGAAATCCAGAAACTTTAGGTTCGATCTCATCGATCTTCTAGCTTTTCCTTTACGTTTCCATGATGAAAAATCTTGTTCAAGTTTTGAGTTTCTTGGTCAATGATAATGCAGCATCTGTTTTTGGAGAACAAGTAAAATTAGGACCTATGGCTCCGGAAACAAAAGCAAGGTGGAGAAAAGAAATGGATTGGCTTCTATCGGTAACCGACCACATTGTCGAATTCGTTCCTTCACAACAGAAAACGAAGAACGGAACAAACATGGAGGTAACATATCTCTCTCCGAAAGAATATCAAAATTGCTGAAACTAAACTATTACTACCATTTAACCATTTTAACACCTAATACTTTATTTCAAACTTGATAGATTATGGTCACTAGACAAAGGAGCGATCTCCTCGTGAATATACCTGGCCTATGCAAACTCGACACCATGCTTATTGTGAGTAACTTTCTCCTTCTAGTTTTTAACCTGCAAAAGATCATTTCATAGTAAATCAAAGATTGATCAAATTTATAATGAAAACAGGAGACTCTTGACAGCTTTGGAGAAGAACAAGAATTTTGGTACGTGTCCAAAAATGAAGATCAAGAGAATGAAAACGGGCATAGGGATGACAAATGGTGGCATCCGACTGTTAAGGTACCTGAAAACGGGTTATCGGAAGCATCACGAAGGTGGCTGCAGTCTCAAAAGGAATCGGTGAATCAGGTGCTAAAAGCAGCTATGGCCATCAACGCTGAAGTCCTATCTGAAATGGAGGTTCCCGAAAGCTACATCGATTCCCTCCCCAGGGTAAAGAAATAAAAAATCCTCATCAACTGATTACAAAAGTTTTTATAATTTTTTCAGTTATCTTTATAGTTCTTCTCCATCATGTCTATGTAGAACGGAAAATCAAGCCTCGGCGATTCAATCTATAAAGGCATTACAGTGGAGTACTTTGATCCATCGCAATTCCTTGCAACCATGGATATGTCAACAGAGCACAAAGTTTTAGACCTTAAGAATAGGATTGAGGCCTCCATTATCATTTGGATGAGGAAGTTGCATCATAAAGATGGAAGATCTTCTTGGGGTTCGGGTGTCAGCTTGGAAAAGAGGGAACTCTTTGAAGAGAGGGCCGAGACTATATTAATCATGTTAAAGCAGCGTTTCCCTGGACTTCCACAATCTGCACTTGATATATCTAAGATCCAATATAACAGGGTAAAGCAAGCAAAGAATTTCGGTTTCACTTTTATCTATTCCGAAATGTATTCAAGGTTGATAAACTAACTTGGTATTCAATTTCACAGGATGTAGGCCACGCTATCCTGGAGAGCTATTCAAGGATTCTAGAGAGCTTGGCGTTCAATGTCATGTCGAGAATCGAGGATGTCCTTCATGCTGATAGCCTTACTCAAATATCATCACCGGCAAGATCTGAGGGGTCCTCTAGCCCCTCTGATGAAGACGCAATCGCGAAGAGTGCTGCAGACACTCCGACTCTCTCGGATTTCATGGGTTGGGGTATTGCTTCCAGAAGGAGAAATTCAACTGATCTAGAAATCTACTTCAAGGGAGATAATGACAAAAAAACTTCCAAGCCAACCCCAAAGATATCTCAGTATCTAGAGAAGCTTGAAAGCTGTGTGCTAAGAAATCCTAGTTCTTGTGATTGATAGAAGAAGGGAAACGAGAGAGAATAGAAAGAGCGAAAGATATGCAAAAACTGCGAGACAAGGATATATAATTATATATGGTTAGAAAAGAAAAAAAAGAAGCTTACCTCATGTAACTAATTTCTAGAGCTTTGTGCTGTGCTTCCTTCCAAATTTGGACAGGGAAGCGATTATGTGACTCATTTAACATTTGATGTATTTGGGAACTGCTTCCTGGCTGTCTTCACTATAGTAACTGTAATGTTTTGCAGATGAAGAGAGTTGATTGTACCTCTGGTCTTCATTCTATTTCTCAACAGTTGCTATTGTTGCTATACTATTCGGAGAAAAAAAGAGCAAATTAACATAAAGAATAAGAACTTACTGCACAGAGGAAACTAGCTAGTTATAAGCATAATCAAAAGAGGTGAATATGATGGTGATGTCTTGGCATACTCAGGTTTCACTTAAATCTGGTTAGAGCAAGCTTGTGAGCAAATTGTTCGCAACAGATATCATCAGCAGAACCTACTCTTGGAAAAAATGAAGTGAATGGTTTCCTCAAATTAGAAAAACTGAAATGGGTTTTTGTATGTAAACAAAGTTACACCTTCATATGAAGAAATTGCAACCTTATTCCTTTCTCTCTAGAAAGAAATGTCCTTCAATGGACAAAAACCTTGCTAAGCACAAAATGCAGCGATATAAACTCAGCTCAGGAGCTTTGAAACTATACAATTACAAGGGGATTCCAACTGATAGTTCATTACAATTTCCACAACTTAACATGAATGCCACTTGTCTCATATTTGAAAATCGATTACACAGTTGCCAAGAATCTCCACGGCCTCTATTCCTGATAGAACCGTGTACTGATCTGAGCAGATGGAAGCAAATGAAATATAAGTGATGTTTTTGTATATTTCCTCAGCAAGCTTTTTCGGTTTATGATAATTGCCATCGTTTAAAGGAGGAGAATTTGAATTGACTTTGGTTTGAGTGGTTGTCTTTGCATGTTCCTTATCATTAAGAGGCTGTGGATCTGTCACACAAGAAAACCCTGTGTAAACATATCAATAGGTCACAGTAAAGGCAAATCGGCTTCAACCTTCCTAAGCACATCATCAATTTAAGTCAAACAGGTGATTGAACTAACTAACCTTTCTCGACACATCCGAAAGAGATGCAAATTGCATGCATGCTTCTACTATGCGAATACTATGTATATCTCAGGAAAAAAACTTTATTCAAATAGAAATAACAGAACACAATATTAGCAATTTGTGAAGAACTATTGATGAACTAATTTTGGTCTTGCCTTCAGTTAGGGTAGCGGAATCTTCCTTCACGGCATGTGAGTTAGCTCGTCTAATGCATAACCATGTTCTTTCAGAATCATAATCAAGTTCAGATGCAATGGGAATATGCCAGTGGCCTTTTTCTGATTCTTGTTCGCGTGTCTACTGTTAGGAAGATCAATTCAGCACACCTTGTAGCTATATTCTGTCAGTTTATGCACTTACATTTATACAAAAGTTCTTAGGAACTTACCTGAATTACGACAGAACATGGAGGAGGCATGTGAAATACTGGACCAGCGTTTGAGAAACTGAAATGCACCTTAGATGCAGAAAAATATGGATTTATAATTAGGAAAACCGCTTTAGAGTATCATACTGAGAAACTGAGCATATTCATTACAAGGTTTATCAACTAGTTGGAAGTCCTTGAATTCTGGGAGCTTTAATTACTTGATGCCTTTCTTTCCATTTCGGAAAGAAGTCATTTCCCAAAAGTTGAAATGTATGGTCTCTCATCTCGTCATTAGTAACAATTAAGCACTTGAACTTTATAGCTGCATACAACCAGTACCTGAAGCACTGGTTATTACCCTTGGCTTTAAATGCATGTGCATTGGAAAAGTCAATCAGATGAAACTAAAACTGTAATGTCAAAAGTTGAAGCAATTATGCAAATAAGCAATAGTGCAGGTAAGCTGTAACTTGTGCTCGTAATTTCCTACCAATCATCATTGGATCCAGTTGGAGTTGCATATAGAGCATCAGCATTTTTCCACTTCTCGATTATTGCTTTATTTACTGGTTCTTCCATTTTCTGTCCAGTGATCCGTTTGTTATGCAAAACAATGAGTAGCCATCTCCTTGATGGAAGTTTCTGTCGTATTGCGTTAACAACAGCATTGACCTAAGAATTATCATAAGAGAAGCAATCATGAAAAAGCAAAAGAAAGCAATGTGGTGATGCTATAGTTAATCCTCTTCATTTTAGCCAAACTAACCTTTGATGGCATGAATCTTTTCTGGCTGAAAAGACCTACATTACCTGCATCAACCACAGCTTCAAATGGTCCACAGTAGTCGAGCCATTTCTGCCAAAGAGTTAATTTAACACTTTATCAAAACTTATGTACATGATTGTAGTGATTGAAAAATACATCAATACACTTTTCATACTCTAAACTTTTGAAAACTGAAGTTCTTCTCTCTTTTTACAGCTACAGATGCAACTGATTCAGCAAACTTCTCCATTTCTACAGGATCGAGATCTATTAAAGCCAACTTTTCCCCACAACATTGACATAAGGCGTCGACTCCAACAACCGTATGTGAAATATTCTACCGTCCTTTACCCAACCAGCCCTGCCCATGCCAGCCTCCGCCTCCATTTTCAATTGCCTCCTTCATTAATATCTGATCTATTTTTTGCTTCCCTACTCTCGAGGCTGCCTTGCTCTCAAACCATTTAACGATTACGTCCACGGTAGAAGGTGACACTTTTCTCACCTTGTTCTTAGTTTGTGCAGTAAATAGTACACTTTGTCACCTTTTCCGGATCCTACGCTAACTCTTAAGAGTGCCTCCAGTTCAGGCTCTTCTGGCTGAACGCCATGCCCCAACATGTGTTTCTCAACTTTGAAAGCTTTGTCGACATCTCCGGTACTGCAACAAACAGACAGAGCAGGACCATAAGACCGCAATCTAGGATTTATACCCCGCGGCTTCATTTGCTTCACCATATTAAATGCCATTTCACCATTTCCCATTGACAATTCCATTCTTGCCACAGCCGTCAACGTCGCCTCATTCATCGGGACATTATCAGAACACATCTTTTCGTAGATCTTGAATCCCTTAACAAGTGCATACTTCTTGACATCTTCACTTACCAAAATTTCATCATCTTCTTGACAACTAGGACCTTCTGAAAGTTGAGAATAAGGCTTTGCAGACCCATTCGAAAATCGATTCAAGTTCTTCTGAGAGAAACAACTGTCTATATGATTAAAACTTCTTCTACCACTAACAACCAATTCAGACGAACTAGAATTCCCAATATCATTTGAAATTTGTAACATATTCAAAGGTCGATTACCAGTACCACTTTTAGCAGGTTGAATAAAGCCCACAGCCGCAGAAGAGCAAAGATACAAAAGCACAGCATAATGATACTGCCCCATTGTAATTCCTTCTTTCAAAGCTTTATCATACAGCTGAATTGCACCAATCACATCCCCTCTCTTTGAACACATATCCAATTGACCCCTCAAGTTCACTGAAGGAGAATTAACCTTATCTTTCTTAGACTTCAGTGAAGAACTCTGAGAACCCATTTTTCTTGCAACCTTATCCTTTAAAACCCTCTTGTTCTCAGCCTTCCCTTCCAAGACAGAACTGAAAATGTTCTCCAAGTTGTTTCTTTCACCTCCACCATTTATAGACCTTGAAGAACTAAACCCAGAACCAGTTTCTTTCCCAGTATTGAAATTTGTAAACTTTCTTGAGGCTTCATGGCTTTTTATGGATAACTTTGCATTAAAGTGGTGCCTAACTGTTCTGGCGTGTGTTCTTCTATCTAAAAAAATTTGAGAAATTTGGAGTTTGGGAGGGGAGGGGTAAAGGAAATGAGAGAAGCAATTGAAGTTGAAAGCTGAAGGGTTCTTACAGAGAGTGATGGAAATGAAGTGGCTTTGCTGTTGTTGCATAGTGGTGAAAGTAAAGGAGACCATGTTTGCGAATGGAATAATTAAAAAAAATACATTTCAAATATTATCTTATATCAATCAAAAAAATCTATATCCATTAAAAAAGTAGTTATTAATAGAAACACATACAAAGTATAACTAAAATGAAAATTTTGTTAACGTATAGAGTTTGATTGTGAATTTGACATTTTGTAAGAAGTTAGTGGATGGCCGAAACATATAGGGTGGCCTAAATACAAATTCAATATTCTTTTGGCAACACGCGAACTTGCGACTTTCAAACAAGATGAAACCTATGCTACTGCTGTTTTGGAGATTCAATCGATCAAATCGCCCACACCAAGTATATATATATATATTGTTAGGAAAATAAACCGAGTACAAGTAATTTCCCTATAACCAGATTAGTGAGAATGCGAAATAAAAGCGGAAAAATAATACCCGAAAATTGATAACGGAGTTCAGCCAATTGTGTTTACGTCTCCGGGCTGCTGCAGATCTTTTACTAAGAGAGAAAATTTACAGGTGTTTACAAAACACTCACTACTCACAAGAAAGCTCTCTAGTATAGGAAGAAAGAAATGTTTTGGGATGATTTTGAAGCTAAATGGGTAAGGGTATTTATAGTAGAAACTTAGGGACTAATCTTTGAAAATACCCTAAAGTGCAATGACTAAAGTGAATTTACCCATTCCTATTTTCAACAAACATCTACCAAAATTTTACCAAACTTTGAAAAACATTTTTCAAAGAAACATTTACCAAACTTTGAAAAAAACATTTTCCAAAGTTGGTTGTCAAACTTTGAAACTTTTAACAATCTCCCACTTGAAGACTGATTTTAATATGTCTTCACACCTCGATCAATGCAGCAGCATGTCTGGTCTTGTTATTCTAGCATGCCAACTGAAGTTGAACACAACTTCAGTTTGTCCGTAGTCACCGTCTTTGTCAACATGTCTGCCAGATTTTGAGCTCCACTAATCTTTTCAAGTTTCAAAATCCCATCTTCCAGAAGAGACCGGATAAAATGATATCTCAATTGTATGTGCTTTGTCCTGGAATGAAAAGACGGATTCTTTGCTAGATGGATAGCACTTTGACTGTTGCAATACAAGATATTGTTTTCTTGTTTCTTGCCTAACTCTTCCAAGAAACTTTGGAGCCAAACCATCTCCTTGCTGGCTTCCGTAACAGCGACATATTCTGCTTCAGTTGTGGAGAGAGCAACTATCTTCTGTAGTTGAGAAACCCAACTCACTGCAGTTCCTCCTAGAGTATAGACATACCCTGTAGTGCTCCTTCTGATGTCGACATTTCCGGCGAAGTCAGCATCTACATAGCCTGTCAGTATCATATCTCCACCTTTGAAACAAAGTGCTTTGTTTGTGGTACCCCGAAGATATCTGAGGATCCATTTGACTGCTTCCCAGTGTACCTTGCCCGGATTATTCATGTACCTGCTAACAGCTCCCACTGCATGAGCAATATCTGGTCTGGTACAAACCATGGCATACATCAGACTTCCAATTGCTGAGGCATACGGCACCTTCACCATGTGTGCACGTTCTTCCTCCGTCTTTGGTGATTGGTCTTTGGAGAGTCTGAAATGAACACCTAAAGGTGTACTTACTGGTTTAGCATCTTGCATGTTGAACCTGGAGAGTACTTTGTTGATGTACTCAGCCTGTGATAACATCAAAGTCCCCGACTTTGTGTCTCTCTTGATCCTCATCCCAAGAATCTGCTTTGCAGCGCCCAGATCCTTCATAGCAAACTGCTTCGACAATTTTTGCTTCAAGTGTATAATCTCTTGCATGTCTGAGCCTGCAACGAGCATGTCATCAACGTACAATAATAAAATAATGAAGCTGTTATCGAACCTCTTGATGTAGCAACAATGATCTGCTTGGCATCTGATAAAACCACTGCTACTCATGAAGCTATCGAACTTCTTGTACCACTGTCTAGGAGCTTGTTTTAAACCATACAAGCTCTTCTTCAACCTGCATACCAGGTTTTTCTTGTCTGCCTCTATGAAGCCTTCTGGCTGCCTCATATAGATTTCTTCCTCCAAATCACCATGAAGGAAAGCTGTCTTTACATCTAACTGCTCAAGATGTAAATTCTCTGCAGCTACAATTTTCAACACCAGTCTGATTGTAGACAATTTTACGACTGGAGAGAAAATTTCATTGTAGTCAATACCTTTTTTTTGCTGAAAGCCTTTGACAACCAATCTTGCTTTGTAGCGTTTGCTCCCATCGTGCTCTTCTTTGATCCTGTAAATCCACTTGTTGTGGAGTGCTTTCTTGCCTGGTGGTAATTCAGCTAATTCCCATGTCTGATTTGACATAAGCGAGTCCATCTCATCTTTCATGGAAGACTCCCACTTGACTGAATCCTCCACTTGTATTGCTTCATCATAGCACTCTGGTTCACCATTGTCAGTCAGCAACAAGTAGTGTAAAGAAGGAGAATACCGTTGGGTTGGTTTAGGAATTCTGGAGGAGCGTCTTAGTTCTGGTGTGCCTGGTTCTTCTTGAACTGCTTCAGGATTGATCTGAACATCATTTCCAGAAATCTCCTCGAACTCAGCAAATTCCTTTGTTTCAGCTTCGGTATTACTTGATTCTGCGGTTGATCTATCTTTGTACATCACATTTTCATTGAAAATGACGTCTCTGCTTCTGATGATCTTCCGATTTTCATAGTCCCAAAACCGGTAACCGAACTCATCACCGCCATAACCAACAAAGGCACATTTGTTGGACTTAGCATCAAGCTTACTTCTTTCAGCAGAGTCTATGTGTACATAAGAAATACAACCAAACACTCTTAAGTGTGAAAGGTTTATTTCTTTCTTGCTCCAAACTTCCTCTGGTATTCTGCCATCCAAAGGAACTGAGGGCCCACGGTTGATCAAGAAAGCTGCAGTGTTGATTGCTTCAGCCCATAGAAATTTGGGCAAGCCGGCATGTATCCTCATACTTCTGGCACGTTCATTCAGAGTTCTGTTCATGCGCTCTGCTACACCATTATGTTGCGGTGTCTTGGGAACTGTTGTCTCCATCTTGATCCCATTGTTTGCACAGAAATCTCTGAATCTACTGTCTCTGTACTCTCCTCCATTGTCAGACCTCAACCGCTTGACTTTCAAACCAGTCTCATTTTCCACCATGGCCTTCCATTTTCTGAAGATATCGAAGACTTCTGATTCTTCTTCAGAAATAAACCCACACCTTCCTTGTTGAATCATCGATGAAGGTGACATAATATAGTGAGCCTGCAAGAGATGGAACTGGGGATGGTCCCCATACATCAGTATGAACCAATTCTAACCTTTCTGCCTTGGGTGTCTTGCCAATCTTTGCAAAACTGACTTTCTTTTGTTTGCCAAAGATGCAATCCTCGCATAGTCCGACATCTACATTTTTAGATCCGGCAGCTTCCCTTTTGACAAAAGTGTCTTCATCCCTTTCTCGCTCATATGGCCAAGCCTTTGGTGCCATAGGTTTGATTTTCCATCAGCATCTGCTACTGCAATGATATTCTCTAAATTTGAGGTTACATAGAGAGTACCAGTCTTCTTACCACGAGCAATGACGAGTGCTCCTTTGGTAATCTTCCATTCACAGCTTGAAAAAGTTGTGCTATATCCTTCTTCATCAAGCTGTCCAACAGAAATCAGATTTCTTTTGAGGCCAGGAATATGTCTCACTCCTGTCAGCTTCCAGGTGGTCTGGTTTGGCAACTTTAGTCGGATGTCTCCTTTTCCGACGATCTTTAAGGTTTCATCATCAGCAAGATGAACCTTCCCAAAATCACCACTGACATAGTTCTCCATGATTTCTTGGCATGGGGTGGAGTGGAAAGATGCCCCTGAATCCAAGATCCATGATTCAATCGGACTGTTGACGCTTAGAATCATGGCATCACCTGTCTCCTCTGTCACGTTGGCAGATTCCTGTGCACCGGTATCTTTCTTCAGTGCTCGGCAATCTCTTTTAAAGTGACCTTTCTTGCCACAATTATAACAGGTAAAATCTTTCTTTCCCGTTCTAGATTTTTCCCGTCTGGATTTTGATCTGCCACGATTTGAATATCTTTCTGAAGTTCTTCCTCTAGACTCCGTGTGCAAGGCTGAGGAGGTTGATGCTTCACCCGATTCTCTCCGTCGAATTTCTTCACTCAGTACCAGATCCCGAACATCGTCGAATTTTAATTTGCTGTTTCCCGACGAACTGCTGACTGCTGTAACAGTAGCATTCCAACTGTCTGGTAGAGATGATAAGAGAATTAAAGCTCGAACTTCATCATCGAACTCAATTTCCACTGAACTCAACTGGGTTGTGATTGTGTTGAGTTCATTTAGGTGTTGTGCCACCGATGCCCTTCCGTCATCCGCAAATTGAATAATCGCCTCATCAAATGAACTTTGTTTGAGGCCGATGGTTTCTCATACATACTGGAGAGAGCCGCCATAAGACCCGCCATGGTCTTTTCCTTTGCTATGTTGAAAGCAACATTTCGGGACAACATCAGTCGGATGACTCCGAGGGCTTGTCGGTCGAGAAGAGCCCAGTCTTCATTCTTCATGCCCTCTGGTTGCTTTCCTGAGAGAGGTTGATAAAGATTTTTCTGGTACAGAAAATCTTCAATCTGCATCTTCCAAAAGCCAAAGTCCGCACCATCGAACTTTTCAATTTTCACCTTCCCTTCGTCTGCAGCCATCGCTTCCACTCGAATCTGGCTTCTTTTGGATCGTTTCTGACAATTCTTGCGAACCACCGTGTATTAGAACACCACCGTCGACAAACTCGTATCGCCGACCAAAATTTCACTATTCACGAAATTCACTATTCACGTGAATAGTAATGAATAGTAACCTCACAGAAAAATTGACAAAATTCACAACCAAAAGCTCTGATTACCAGTTGTTAGGAAAATAAACCGAGTACAAGTAATTTCCCTATAACCAGATTAGTGAGAATGCGAAATAAAAGCGGAAAAATAATACCCGAAAATTGATAACGGAGTTCAGCCAATTGTGCTTACGTCTCCGGGCTGCTGCAGATCTTTTACTAAGAGAGAAAATTTACAGGTGTTTACAAAACACTCACTACTCACAAGAAAGCTCTCTAGTATAGGAAGAAAGAAATGTTTTGGGATGATTTTGAAGCTAAATGGGTAAGGGTATTTATAGTAGAAACTTAGGGACTAATCTTTGAAAATACCCTAAAGTGCAATGACTAAAGTGAATTTACCCATTCCTATTTTCAACAAACATCTACCAAAATTTTACCAAACTTTGAAAAACATTTTTCAAAGAAACATTTACCAAACTTTGAAAAAAACATTTTCCAAAGTTGGTTGTCAAACTTTGAAACTTTTAACATATATATATATATATATATATATATATATATATATATATTATTGTATCAAACAATCTTCAATTATATTGTTCCTCGTATTAATAGAACATTCCAAACTTTGTCCCCTCTACGGCTATATAAATAAACCCGAAGGCAATAGCAGTATAGCACTCGAAGTAACATTAACATCTTCGTTGGGAAAACCGATAGTGAACTGAAAACCAAGGCAACAGAAATAACCTAAGGAGTGAGCGATGTCGCAGAAACCAGTGACCATGGACGTCGGCAACGACGCCGTTGCAGTTGTCACCATCTTCAATCCTCCCATCAACGCCTTGGCTATTCCCGGTAAACCGCTGCAGTTCTCCATTTTTCATGTGGTGCTTTGAATTGTCCTTTTCTTTTTCAACTGTTGCAGTGATTGCTGGATTGATGGAGAAATTTGACGAGGCTTCGAGGAGAAACGATGCCAAAGCTGTTGTTTTAACCGGTGAGTTGTCATTTCCATCGAATCAATATTTTACGCTTGGAGTGCGATTTTTATCTGTTTTTTTTTTTGGTTCTGTTATTGAAGGCAAGAGAGGAAAGTTTTCTGGTGGATTTGATATCAATGTTTTCGAGAAAGTTCACGAAACAGGTATGAACTAATTGATTAGCAAGACTCTTTGCAGTTCCAGAAATGTTCATGATGGTGCTTATACAGGCGATGCATCTGTGGCGTCTGATGTGTCCGTTGCTCTTGTGCTTAATGCTATTGAAGGTCTTTCATCATCCTTTTACTTATTGTACGTGTCATAACGTTTTCAAAATAAAAATTCGAATTAAAAATAATTATGAATTTCGGGGTTTTTGATGAATTTGAGATTTGATTGAATTTGGAGTCGTCATCGACCTTTGAGTTAGGTAGATCGAATACCTAAATATGTCGTTTAAAACAATTTTTAATATGGAAAACACATGCATAACAATATTTACAACAAAAATATGAAGATGCATAGCACGTAGACATACACATATAAATATACATGCACGTAGACATACACATTAATATTTAATATGAAACACATGCATAGCAATATTTACAACAAAAATATGAACACCCTAAGTTAAGGGCTAATATACGATAAACAAATAATATAGGGATCAAAATGCATGAATACAAAAATACAAGGAGCTAATCAGACAATAATCCAAAATTTTAAGCATAAAATAGTGATCAGGGTGCATATAAACGAGCCGTCGCTATTTCCGATCCCATTTGGCCTCCACCAATAACGGCAACTTTCTTTACTTGCCTAGGTTTTAGACCAAGATCAGTAACATTTGGCACCTGAAAAAGTGAAACTTCAGGGTAAGAAATACAATGGAAGATCTCAATTGGTTCTAGGCAGGCCTGGTGCCAAGGCAAATTTGGGGCAGTCCTTTTGGCTTGCTGTCTTACAATTTTTATCACCTCCTTTACTTCAGAGAGGGACAATCATTTTTCTTCTTTGGTGGCAGCAAATGTTTGAGCTTTAGTTACGAGAGGGAAATTGACAAAGGATAAGGCAGAAAAAGCACTCTCGATGCTTTAGTTGGTCCAATTGACTTGACTCTTCCATATACAGCCCTGCCGATTTGGTGCCTCTTTTGGAGACCGTACGTACACAAAAAAACTTCCCCACAAGTCATTATTGACCTTATGACAATCGGGAAAGTGATAAAGAAAGTCCCTGTCATCGTCGGTAATTGCACCGGCTTTGCAGTCAACCGAACATTCTTCCCATATTCGCAAGGTCCAAATTTGTTGGTCAATTTAGGCATCGACTTATTCAGAATCGACCGGGTGATCGCCAATTTCGGCTTTCCTATTGGTCCTTTCCAGTAAGTTTCTTTCCTTTGCTTGGATAGCAAGGTACATATGTTTCCAGCTTAGGTGATCTCTTTTAACTGAGAGGAATTATGTTACTCCTAGTTGTGCTTTGCAGGCTTCAAGACGTATCGGGCTACGGAGTGTTGTTGGCACTTTAGAAAGAATTCTCGAAGACGTTCTCCGATCGAGTATCCATATCTCCGTTGGTTGAACTTTTGATGAAGAATGGACGAAATGGTAAAGAAAACTATAGTTGGACGTGTTTTCAAGGGATACTCCCAAGTAATTGAGGCATGTTCTGAAGTATTGGTAATTTCCAGGGAAAATCAATAGGAAGGGATATTATAGTTATGAGAAGGGAAGCAAACCAAAACCTGATCCTTCCATATTACCTATTATCCGCGAATGAGAGTATTATCTTAACAGCTATTATGTTAACTTTATGGCAGTGGTGGCATAGTGTTTTGGGCAGATATAGTTGGAGCAAATCATGTGTACAAAAGACTTCAAGAATGGTCAGAAATGTACGGAAGCTTCTACAAACCATCAAAGTATTTGGAAGAAAGAGCCATTAAGTGCATCCCACTGGTTACAACCTTAACCCCTTTCTTGTTTGAATAAAGTCATTGAATTATATTTAAACAATTATTTTTATTATTAAATTTTTAAAAGTTATAAAATGATCCTTAAATTTATCACTTTTATGAATCACATGCTCACCTTTTGTGTATTTGCAGAGTGCAGCAGCAACTTCATCTGTATCATCAAAGTCGAGGTTTTAATAAGTAGATCCTCTACATCTTATAGACATTGTGCATATCTTTGCACCAATTTCGTAAAAAAATATGCATCAACAAGAAGACATTGCACGTGCAGCCATAATAGAAGAGCGTGAAAAATTTTCATTTCAATGATGAAATAATATACATATAAACATTACGAACATCGTTGGTTGGGGAAAATAGCATCAATTCTACAAGACCGTGGCTGATTAAAGCGGTACTCGGCATTTATGTTGAATAGAATTCTAAGCTAAAACTTCATCAAGAATTATAAAATCCCCTCCCCCCATGTTTTTTTTCTTTTTGCTAAAATTAAGAATGGACTAATGAAAGGGCATGGTATGAGCTCAAGCCACTGAAAAAGAAAACGGATAAATAATTCAAACATGAGAGAATTTAATTCGAGCACCGGTCAGTGTCAAGAATGATGCCCACAATCACTTTGATATTGAATCAAAGCCGAAGGTGGGGAGTGAATGGTTGGTCGGAATAGTGGTATCATACCTTGGACTGATTGTCAGCATTTAAAATCTTTACATCTGTTTTTTCGGTTTTTGATTTAGCATCCCCGTTTTCAGGATGGTATGGACCTCTAGGAATGTCATTATCACCAGTGGTGACCACCACGGCAGTCATCTGAGATGTCTTGACTGTGGGTGGACTGACATTTTTTGCAGCTCCATTGGTAACGGATCCTTGTTGGTTCCCCGTCTCAGTGCTGGCCATTTCAGTGCCATTGCTAGGGGGTCCTCTTTGACTACCTGTCTCTGTTCTTGCTAATGACGAGCATTGTGTTTCTGTGATCAAAATAGAGCAGCATTGTCAATTCCCAATGGTTTATGCATGGAAAAGATAATACACCATGAAATAGATAACATATGAATTTAAGTTCTCCACTCTCTGCCACTCTACACTCACTTCATCATTCTGCCTCTCCGTGATGTATTACTCTGTTATTAGAAAGTTAGAGATAGTTCCATAATTTTAGTTTCTTTTTTGATATGCGCAATATAATTAGTCAGTAATGAATCAAATTTTTGGAAAAGGGAAAGGGAAACTTGCCCTTTATCTCTCCGAAAGTGATAAGCCTATTGAGACAATCTCTGAACTTTGTCAAAACAATTCTTTCCTGCTCTGCGTAAATCTCGGTCATGCCCTGTCCGTAAGGCAATTGTGAAGATGTGCTGCATCCTTGGCCCATGATCCTGTTAGGAGAAGCAGTGGCCATGAACATTGTATCTTGTTCATCACACATCAAGGCCAAAGTTCCTGGAGACATAGGCCTTCCCTTTGGCATATCAGCACTATCCGAGCTGCATTCTTCAGGGACAGCTTTATCAGCCTGGTTTGCACTTGAACAGTCATCAGCCATGGTTTTCTCGGCATCAGAATCCTTCTGGCTTTGTAGCCTGTCTTGAGCGGATGATGCAATGGAAGTTTCTGCATGATCTTCTGTCAGCTTTTTGGTCATGATTCTCTGATCTGAATGTATACAGAAATTTAAGGAAGAGCATTAGATGAAGTGGCAAATCTATTAACTTATTCTGACTCAAAAGTTTATTGCTAAAAACAAATTCAAAAAATGACAAGCAAGAATTCTTTGTGGAATAAAGTGTCCAACTATAATTTCTTACATGTACAAGGTATTTATGGAAACAACACCAGTTCCGATATTTAAAACAGTTTTAATGCATTATCCATTGACAAAGGAAGCCTAACCTTAAACACTGATATTATGTATTCATCTGAAAGAAAACCATATACTTTATTCATCAGGAAGGGGAAAAAAAGTTGAACCACGAATCTTTCTTTAACAAGTACAAGCAGAAAATTTCAATAAGCATCACAATATAAAATGTTTCTATGAACTGCTAGAGATGAACACAACGACAAAGCAAGTATAAGTTGATCATCATACATGATAATACTCACTGTTTAAGCAATAAAATGTGACAGGATTAAGCAAGTATAAGTTCAGACCAGTTATTTGAATGATTTCCCCTTTACCTGACACTGTTTTCGCAGCTTCTCCTGACAGAACTACCAAAACAGAGCAAAGCTCCTTCAAGTCCTGCTTTTGAATAATATCAGCTAACAGAGACCTTCCACCAAAATGCTTAAGTTAGTTTCCTGAACAATCGGACTACAAATATTGTTTGACCAGGACTCTCCATTTACCTATATGTAAATTTTGAAGGGCCTACTGCAGCAGTTGTAGTAGCACGAGAAACTGGTAGAGAAGACAGGGAAGAGGAGGGTGCAGAAGCTCTGATATGGGGTGGCTGATTAACAATGAGAAAAAAGAGTAGCAAATGTAAGTTCTAAGAGTACAACTAAAAGTAATTGTGTGGAAGCTTTTATGGTAACAAGTGAACCACAAATATTGAAACATGAGAAGAACTACCGACACAGTAAAGTGTTGATAAATATTCATGGATCAGACGTTTACCTGAGGAAAGCTTCCAAGCCTGGAAACAGATGGATCACTTGCGGTTGACCCAAAGAACAGTTCCTGACCTTTTCTCTTTTTAGACACTGGAGAAGATGCATAACCAGAGGACCCAATAGCTCCAGTTATGGCAGCATTTGCTGCCTGCTGAATATATGCCATATTGTTGACATGGTCACCATGAAAGAGAGCCTGTCTCTCTTCACTTCCCTCAAAATTTTTGCAGTCCAAGCATTTGCAGTTTTCGGAGCAAAGAATGTTGGCTTGGAAACACTCACAATACTTTTTAAGGCACCCGGATTTCTTACAATGACATCCTTTGTTGTGCTTTCCCACAATTAAAACTTCCCCAGCCTCTTCCTAAAAATAATTCAAAACTAATTACTATGAGAATGCCTATTGCAGCAAGCTTCAAATGACAAATTTTATATTTTGTTAATATAATTTTTCAAGAAGGAAAGGATCCTCTCCACACTACTTAGAAAGTACTGAAAATTTCCACTACTTTACCCAAGGGTGAGTAATAAACTTCCAACTAAATATATTACATAATTTTTTAATGATTTTAAATTAAAACGAAGCTAAATGAAAGCTAATTAAAAAGGATAAATGAATAGGATAAATATTAACTTAGATTTGGTTGAAACTTGAAAGTGTATTACTCACCCTTGAATTTTTCACTACTTTTTAAGTAGTGAAAAGGATCTTTTCCTTTGCAAGAATCTAACCATATAGAGTTTAGAAAAAAGGATATCAACTCTGTGCAAATATCACATGTGTAGCCATACATTTAAATGGAAGAATACCAATATAAAAGGTTATAAATATTCCAAAAGGCTCATCAAAGAGTAAAGGCAACAAAAAAATATTACCTAGATAGACATTTTGGTGGAGCCATATGAAAATTGGTATCTCCATGATAAAAGTTAGCTAAAAAATTTATGGCCTTTTGTTGAACCAATATTGTGCAAAATTATCAAGGTAAAATGTGAACTAAAATAAAAAGTCCAGCCACCATACCCTTCTATCCTGTGTGCCATGCGGGCTGCTTGCAATTTTTGGTCTGAATGCATTTGGATTGCGCTCCAAAGTTGCTTCAATAGCATCTCGTCTTGCAGTTTCATTCTCAACATTGTTATAACAATTAACACAGTTGCACCCATCACAATATATGCCAGATGCAAAGCACTCACAGTACCTGGTCAAGGCATTGCATAACTTTCTATATCTTATACCATAAAACAAATTAAATACAATTCATATAAAAAACTGAATACGGAAGAATTCATTATGGCAACAGAGCATAAAAGTCAAAGTACTTACAGTTTCAGACACCTAGAATGTTTACAGTTACACTGCTTCTGCTTCTTTGGTGTGCCATCTTTCAGTTCATTTGATCTTGGTTTTGCTTTCGGGGATTCTGGTTTTCTGAAGTGAGCAAGAAATAAAGAACAAGAACAAAGATAGAGAACAGATAATTAACTTCCATATTAAGAAATTAAAAAAAAACTGACATATTTTAAAGCAATCTTCTGTTCATTGAACCGTTAATTCCACCAGTTATTTAAACTACGTAGATTTTCATAAAATATCTCCATAAATGTCAAACACATTATCGTAAGGGTGTAAGAAAAACAGAAAAGAAAAATTAAAAGAGAATAAAACAAGTTTCATTGCAATTAAAAAGGTAAGAAAGGGGGGAAATGACCAATATGGTAATGTCCAAGAAACAAAATGTCACATCCTAGAACTACACTATATTATAGACAGAAATAATGGGAAACAAGCAGCAAAGAGCGTAAGAAGATGTCAATACCAATTTTTGGTTTCTAACATGTCATGCAGGAAATCTTGGTTAACAGAAAGTCCGGGTACCAACGCTCCCTAAGACCAACACTTTCTGTAGCAGTGCTCCTGAACAGTATCAATCCAATCCCTAAGTGCTCCAGCACTCCAGACAGTGACGGAGCTACATTTGAATATTAAGGAGGCCAAAAAGCCTAGGGACCTAAGAAGTATTTACTAAAATCTTTAGGGGAGGGGGGCAAGGCTTAATCCGATTAACATCCAAACTACGAGGGGCCTAAAATATATATAATTAAACAAAAAAGTTTGGGGGAGGGACTAGCATCATCCCTTACTATGGAGCTCCAGCATTTCAATGTTTTAACTCCAAAGCTTCACTCCTCCAGCACTTCAGTGCTTCAACACTCTAGAGCTTCAGTGTTTCAGCACTCTAGAGCTTCAGTGTTTCAGCACTCCACTGCTCTAGCACTCTATGGCTCTAGAGCTCCAAGTGTTTGCAGCTTCAGTGCTACAACGCAGTGCTCTAGCACTCCACTCTTCTGACACTGCAGCGTTTCATTCACTAGTACCGTAGCAACATAATCACGTTCTGTACTGTGGCACATAACTACTGCAGGAAGAACAGTGGAGCTAACCTGGAATCAGTGGGCAGGATTTTTGAGTTTACTTCACCATTGGGATGTTCAGGGAATGCCTCTGAATTGGAGATTGTTAAGAAGCCTCTGCCATAACCTTTTTCATTTCTTTCAGTATGCAACTTTCTCTCTATAACCAACCACCACATTTTTTATCTTCCCAAGCCACTTCTTTCCTTAACTACCACCATTTGCCAGCGTCTGTTATTCAAAATCTACTCCAATCATCCTCTCCGCCATCTCTCATGACATTCTAGATTACTAGCTTGCTTAATTTTCTCACCCTATCAGAAGAAACCCTCTACAGAAGTTATATAAGGTGAATGATAAAGTTTAGAGAAAATCAATTGATTCATACCTTCATTCAAAACAACGTTTGTTGAAGAAATCAAAGGAAGAAATAAATTATTTGAAGCAAAAACTAACTTTCCTAAAATCGAGTTTCCAAGAGGAAAAGAAAAAAACAGAATTTGACGCAAACATAGCTGAGATTACAGAGTTAGTGTTGAAGCATATGAAAATAAATGTCAATCCGGAAGAGCTCCTCACTATGTAGTATGTACACTCTCAAAAAGGAAAATAAACACGAACTTAAATTTTGTCAAACACGAACTAACCAAAGAGAAAACACCAAAAAAGTAAGAATCATTACAACAAACTAAAAGAAAACCACATTTTTTTATCAGAAGAGCTTACACAACTCTGCTCGAGGCCGTACTAGGAGGTTGCGCAGTGACAACAGGGGTGGTAGCCAAAACTGGCGGCTTTATCTGTTGCTGTTGCACAGTAATTGCAGCCGAAGACGAGGGCACACCTATCCTTTGGGTGGATTGCGGGTGTTCCGGCAAATTCACACCTCCAGAAGAAACCCCGCCAAAACCGGCCGTGAAATCGAGCTGCCTTGCTAGCTTCTTCGAAGGAAAATCCGCCGTATCAGATTGCACATTTTTTGGCGGGATTTCACCTCCTTCTTCTTCCCCCATCAATTCCAACTCCCCCCTAAATTAAAAAAAAAAAATCAACACACGGCTACAGCTAAAATATCCATCAAATAATATCACAAATTACCTTAAATCAACTCAAATTCAGAGACTTTTAGGTCCAAATCCCAATCTACAATCGAAAAAACTCCAAATTACCAAAACAACCTCGATTCCCCCAAGCTCGAGATTTCCACCATGAACTTCCAAATAATCGAGAAGATTTAGAATCCGATCGATGCATAGAGAGGGAGAGAAACTAAAGAACACTAAAAAGAGCAATATAAAGAGTTAGGGTTTGTAAAGCAGTGATTATTGAAGAAGAGGAAAAGAGAAGCAAAAGTGTTAAAGGAACTTGGTTTTGGCTTGCTGTTTCTTCTCTTCTTCCTTCATGTCTCCTCCCTCTCTCTTGCTAAGTTTTTGAAATTTATATTTCTATATATTTTTTGGGGTCAATTGGACGGTGGAGATTTCTATGGGATTGGTATCCGACGTTTCATGATAAAAATATTAATCTGACGGGTAAAATTCATAGGTGTGCGTATTGAGTGTTGCTGAACGTCGCATCTGATTTAATTAAGCTCTGGGGTTTTCCACAAGTCGTGTATGTTAAATAATTTACCTTTGAATTGTATTAATTTTTTCACTTTATTATTTAAATATTTTTTATTTCAGTTTGAAATTTCATGTCATTCCTTCACACATTTACTTTGCAAAATAAAAAAAAATTAGGTGAAAATAAAATTTATGAAATTTGAAATATTTTTTTTGTAAAATAAAAATATTAAATTCATATTTATTTTTAAAATAATTTTAAAAAATAAAATTAACATCGATCAATCGTGAATCAATATCAGTATATTCATATTTATTTTTCAAAATAACATTTCATTTAACCACTGATATCACAATAAATATATACGTGTGTCTGTTAAGGTAATCAAACATCATACTTTATACTGTAAAAAAACAGTACATTTTATAAGAACAATTAAGACTCCTCTATAAGATAATGTTGTCCAATCACAAATAAAGAAGATTATGAACTTGTACATAAAAAACAATTTCGAAGGTTTAACTTTACAAAACTCAGTAGTGCATAACTACTTTATTATACTGTACCCTATGAGGTAGATAAAATCAAATTTTCCATGATTTTCATTTCAAGCCCCTCGAGTAATCCATTCTCTTGGAGCTTTACACAAAGTTATTACAAATTCACGTGTTGTTCATACATCAGTTGTACCGGATTCATGATTTTCATCTCCAATTTCAGGTTTCAACTTCTTAAATTATACCTCAAAACAAAGAGGAACATATAATTTAAGCATTCACTATACCTCGATGCAGAGCAAGCTCAAGAGAACTGCATGGAAAAACCACTTCCGGTGTTCTCGACCTTGAAATGGCCGAAGTCACCGAAATCAGAGTCGGATCCCATGTCATCATAATCGTGCCACCCACCAGGCGAATCCTCATCGTGGTTGTTTTTTGTGAGAGGTACATGCAGCTCAGTAACGGGAAGTGGAAGAGGTTCTTCATCGAAATACTTGTCATTCAGGAGCTCCATTGTAGTAGCTCTACTAGCTGGGTTGTAACAAACAAGTCTTTTGACAATGGAGATTTCATCAGCAGACTTGTTCGGTAGGCAGGCTTCTAAACCGGTCGGATTTTCGATCTTGGCGAAAGAAATTGTTTTGTAATCAGGAAGTTTACAACAGCTAGGCCAGACTTCTTCAGTCAAATTTCCCAAAACATTGATAATTCTGCCGAGCTGATCAATGTCAGAAATTCCAGGAAAAAGCGGCTCAAGGGTTAGCAGCTCTGAGAAAATGCAACCCAATGACCACAAATCTACCTCCAGTCCATAGTCTGTCGATCCATACAGTAGTTCCGGGGCTCTGAACCAGCGAGTACCAACACAGGATGTGAGAGCACCATTTCTGCCATCCCCACCCTCTTCAGCATCGTATGAGTAAGAACTCTTGAGAGGATCATCGTCAATGTCACTTATGGTACCTGTTGCAAGACAAGAGGAGTATCCGTCGTTAATATTTGTTTCTTTGTCAGTTTCATCCACGGCATGTCGTTTAGCCTTGAGCTCAACTAGCTGTCTAAGATATTCTTCTCTATTAGTATCTTCCACCACTTGCTTATTAAATCCTTGATCTGGCAAACTATGAGCATCAGCGACAACATCTAATGGTGGAGTTACATTTTCTTGATATCCCGTGTTTTGTTCAACCGGCAGTTGATGGTTATCATCATCACCATCAAATCCAGGCTCCATGAGTATCCTTGCCTGGAAACCAAACGAAACAGACATGACACATGAAAGATGACGAGTAAAACAAATTTACATGGTTCTTAGAACACTATAATTCATATTGTCCTTTGCATTATTGAGGGACACACCATAGCATGCTAGGAAGCCAATTTACCAAGGCTGTGATAAAATCAACACGAACTAGTACTACTCAAACTAAGCACTTCTAAAGCTCTAGCAGCTAAGGAGCCATCAGCACAATAATGTAGACAAATTTTCCACTCTTCTGACAGTATCTAGTTTGAAACAGGAAAGCATGAATGAAGCACAAAATGCGGCCCATCACCAAATCCATGAAATTTCAATCACTAAAAACATGTTTTATTACTCGAAATAGAACCAAGAAACGTTGGTGCCAAATCTTGACAGCCTGTGCCTGCATTAACAGTTCATGGACACCAAAATGAACCATCATTTTCTGATAAAGCATGGCCCAATATGCTGATATTTCTCGTAATTAACCAATTATCAGGGAACCTACAGGATCTAAGGGAAGTGTTGTGATTCAAACAAAAAAGCAATAGTCCAATAGGATTCAGCATCAACACCTCTAACTAGTGCAAATGTCATCGCATCATCTATGACTAAAAATGAGGCACTTGGATGGAAAAAAGAACACCCATAATGCAGTAATTAGAAGAATCCCATCAACCTAAAGTATTCAATTTTTCACAATAACTTCACTAGCTTATGAATTCGATCACATGATTAGAAGCATCTGCTACATAGCTCAAGAACAAAAACAAGTTCAGCATAATTAAGATTAGTATTTTATTTATTTATTGTGGAGTCTAAAAGCCTAATGAACCGTTTTGGACACTAGCTACATGTTCATTGATCTATACAAGTTTACTTGATCATCGAGCTATTAACTCGAACACTTGGAAATTCCAAGTTCAACGCCTGCAACCGTGCCAGGAAATTATTAGCAAGCTCAAAATGTCAACTTTCCGATTGGAATAAAATTTAATCCAAGATCGCCGCATTTCACTTCCCAAAGCTTCACATACAAGATATGCAAATTGAAAAACCTAAGTTAAATTAAAGCTAAGAAAACTCAACATAAGTGTACCTGGCCAAAATCGGCTAACTTAAGAACCCCGTCATCTGAAACCAATAAATTCCCAGGCTTTAAATCCCGATGAACAATCATATTCCGATGACAAGCGTCGACCCCACACAAAATCTGGAGCATCCACCTCTTAATCTCACCGACCCGGATCCCTCCTTCCTTCTTTTTCGCGTCGCGGATAACCGCCGCCAAATCGGTCCTCAAGAACTCCAAAACGAGCACGGCGTCCTCGTCTTCCCGCCAAAAGTACTCGTGCAAGACGACTATGTTGGGGCAGTTATGAAGCATTTGCAAGGCCTCGATTTCCCTGAACGCCGATTGGTAGTCGTGGACTTCCTTGAGGGCGACTATGAGGTTGTCGGAGAGCCGACGCGCCCTGTAGACGTCGGAGTAGGCGCCTGAACCCACGCGCTCCAGGATCTCGTACTTGGCGATGACCTCGGGTCGGGTGTGGATGCTCCAGCTCTTCGGTAGTGGTTGCTCCATTTTCCCTTTGTTTGCCTACTGATTCTGTGAGGTTCTTTTGAGCTTCACTCTTTTCCGACTTTCGAAGAACGGAATCAAAGGATAAAGTTAGGGGGTTCAAAATTCGGTTTTAATCGAATTAGTCGATCGAATTGAATTAGTTTAATTAATTCGGTCGGTTACCGAATTAATTCGATCGGGGAACGGTTAAAGAATTTTTTAGAATTCGATTAACGGTTAATTCGGTTCGAAATCGATTAATTAACCGAATTAATCTTTAAATATAATTATATTAAGAGGCACAAACTATTTAAAATCTATTTAAAACCCAAATCAATATTAATTACTTAAAATATCAAAACTAAATGCAAAATGTTTGAATCAAATTAATTAGATATTATTTATAATTAGATATTATTTAAATTAATTGTAAAAATTTTTTTAATTAAAAAAATATTAAATTCTAAAATTCTAAAAAATTTCGGTTAATTCGAAAATTAACTGAATTAACCGAAATTTATTCGATTCGGTTAACGGTTAAAGAAAAAAAATTCGATTAATTCGAAAATGGTAGTTCGGTCGATTCGGCCACCGAATGAACACCCCTAGATAAAACGAGTAGGAAGAACGAAGAGAGACGACGTCGTACAAAACAAACTGTTGAAGTAAAAACGAAAATCATCCAACTATATTTAAATAATATTTTAGTCATTAAACTTTTAAGAATTTATTTCAAAGAAAATAATTAAACTTTATAAATTAAACATTAGATTTAATAAATTATTATAAAAAATTTAATTGTTCTCTCAGTTGACTAATCCGGACTAACTCCGTCGTGTACCTAATAAATTCGTAGAAATTATTTGTACACATAACTTATATATCAAATACAAGTAAAAACCAAAGTTGCTATTGAAGTTGGGATTCACATTATTGTGGTAACAATTAACAAACCAACAATCAATCATTTGTGTGATGTGCTTATGAAGATAACAAGGAAGTGAAGCCAATGAGAACATCAACTGCATTTTGAGCAGCCAAAGCGGCAAACAGAGAGGCTTCATTGGACAAGGCAGAACCCCCGCCAGCTAAATCAGACAAGGATCTGAATGCAATGAAAGGCATGTTCTGTTGGTGACAGACAAGGGCAACTGCAGCCCTCTCCATGTGGATTGCCGTTGCATTGAACTTGGAGTTGAAGAACTCACGATAAGCTCTGTTGTCCACAAACATATTCGAGCTTATCCCTCTTTCTACCCTCACCACCATCTCTGGTCTCGGCAAGCATGTCCCATTCACGCATCCACCGAGTCTCAAACCCTGATTGATTTTTAACACGTTAAATCTGAAGCGATTAACCCTTTTCTTGTTTATGCATTTGGCTTTTATCTCTGCGATGGCCAAGTAGAGGTGGTTGACCAGAACCCAGAAAGCATGTCGCCTAAGTTCAGGATCCCCATCCACTGGGAAAATCTCTTCGGGTTGATACCAGACGTTGTTGAGCAGATTCTCTGAAGAAATATTGCATTGTGTGCTGCTGTTGTAATCAGAGACCCTAAGGTAACCGATTTCTCTGGTGTGGTCTCCATTTGATTCTAGTGCTAGCCCATCTTCAGGCCCATCTCCGTACCTCTTTTAACAATATCAAACATTTTTTTACAAAAATGGTAGTAATTATTTAAGAATAATTACTATAACGTCTTTATATATATATATAGGGTTAATTACATAAATGGTCTTCCAATATATTTTATTATGTCCTTAAATTATTAAAAGCTATAAAATGACCTTTAGACTATAGAATGTTATTTGTTGAGTCCATCGGCTATTAAGAGTTACAAAATAGTCATCTAATTATTCATTATGTTTCAAATTCATTCTTTTATATTTAAAAATTGATTGTATTTTGAGCTTAATGTTAACCTATTGACTATCCGATCCCAGAATCTCAAACAACTATCATATCTTAGTCATCATGAAACATCCAACTTAGACAACTGTCAAATATTTTAACGGAAAATAATGAGTTTGGAATAAAATCAATAGTTGGATGATCATTTTGTAACTTTTAATAGTCGAAGAACTTAAAAAATAATATTATATAATCAAATGACCATGTTGTAACTTTTAATAATCAAAGTACTTAATAAAATAATATCATATAATCGGGGACCATTTGTGTTGGGCTGGGCCGCTGGGGTAAATGGGGGTACCTGTCCGTTCCAAAGGCCAGTATGAGCCCAAAACTGAGGGATGGTTACATCCCCAATCTGAAGCTTAGGATTTGCATTTCCTGCTATTCCATAGTGCAATACTCCCTTCACCTTGAATAAACTCAGCAGCAAGTGTGTAGCTGTCCCTGCATTTAGCTTTTTTTATATATACACCAGGAGGAAAATGGATTAATATCAATAACATCGAGGACCAAAAAAGAATAAAACAGATTATTAAATTGCAGATATGATCCATAAACTTTCATACCATGCTCAACCCTGTCATAGCAACAATAACCTTTTCATTTCTCAACCGTCCAATTCGAAACCTTCTTCCCGGATGAACAAAGTGTAAAATAAAGGGTTATTTTTATGAAGTGTAGGGCTGTAAATGAATCGAATTTTAAGGAATAAAATTGTCCTCATGTTTGTTTAAGTTTCTTTATTTTAAGGTTTATATGTATTTGTTAACAATTTTAAAATCGTTTAGTTATTTAAAATCGTATGTATTTATATTAATTTTTTAATAGTCGTGTTATATGCATGAATATGTTTATTTTATATTTTTACAAACATTAAACTAATATACGCGTACCGATAAACATGTTGACCCCATACCATAATTGTCTTATAAGCTCAAATCGGATCAAAATCTAACAAGAGTTAGGGTTATTTTTGCAACTCTAGCTATGGGGATGTAATGAATGGAGCATGAACGAATAAAGTAATGTTCATATTCGTTTGTTTATTTTTTGAAAGTGATCATGTTCTGTTCGTATTCATTTAAATTTTTAATATTGTATTCATGTTCGTTTATTTTTTTAAAGTGTTCGTGTTCAGATCGATTGACGTTTATGAACATGTTCATTTAAATACTAAAAAAACGATGAGATTATGTCACTAGTCCTAGAGCTCCTCATGCTTCATAGTTTGAACTCCAAAATTTATCCTATGTTCAATTTTGTCCCTACTTTCACCAATATTTAAAATGTAAAAAAAATATCAAGAAAAGAAAAACGGGGTAAACAAGCTTATAAGTGAGTCGATAAACGAGCCAATAAAGGAGCCTTAAATGAGCTTGTTCATGAATATAAACAAACCAACACACATCTATCAGTGTTCGTTTGTTTATTAAATGAACAGAGAAATTTTGTTCATACTCGTTTATTTTAAATAAACAAATAGTTCACGAACAGTTCATCGAACCTTATGTTCATTTACATCTCTAACCTAGCTATTCTACATTAAAAAGTTTAGCTAAGAAATTGGATGAAGTTTATAATTAATCACCTGAAAAATCAAGGTAAGGAAGCTTATGATCAGGCACAAAGGTGCCAGATTGCAATAGAGGATTCATCTCAAAGGCATTTGGCACTATTATGCCCAAGTATGGACCTTCCATGTTTATCCTATCGATCTTCCACAAAGTAGAAGGAACCAAACCATCGACTCCATTGATAACAGTCCCCAAAACAACAAGAATATGAACAAACAATACCATTTCCAAACTCAAACCCATCGTCTCCGATAACCCGAACCCTATAGAATTTTGTTTCATATGACCTGCAATTTGATGTGATTTTAAAGGTAAAAGATCGTACTCATACCCAACATGAATATATATATATATATATATATATGAAATAATGTGACAAAGTCATCAAGTGACATAAGTTAGCACTCAAAATGATAAAGTAACATGTGTCATATTACTAATTAAGTATATGTGAAAATACTTTAACTAAGGAAAGACACATGATTTTATGTTATGAGATGAACTTCTAAAATTTTAGAAATAAACGAATTTATAATATGCTAAATGGGAGAAAACATATTTTCAATAGAAAATACATAGAAATAATCTAAAATATATGATAATTTTAAATTTCAAAGGACGAATGCCCCTATCTGTCCCTCTCCGAGTCTATCCTTGATTTTGACCAAAATTTGAAACGTTGAGGCTAACATGTTCCAAAAAAAAAGGAATAAAGGCTAAAGTGAATATTTGGATAAACATTAGAGACTAATGTTGTTATTATGCTAATAACGTAAGGTCATCCTAACGTCAATTATGACACGTGTAACCCATATCAATTAGTGGGCCGAACCATGAGGGCCGGTGGTGACCACGGGTGCGGCGTGGTTGCCTTTTTACAACTATGGCCCAATGGGCTATAACCTTAACAAATTATTACATTGAGCAACTTTGTTTGATTTTAATGTTTACGAGTTATATGGCATTGCTAAGTACACCATTCTTATGGTAGGTTGCAACTTGCAAGCGTGTCGGAAGATCTCAAAACAAGGTGTCTTAGCATCGACAATGGGCTCACCGGAAGAGACGGACTCCTCCGGATTTTGGACAACGGAAATGTGAGAGTTGTATCATTCAGTGATTGGGAAAGAATAGACAATGAAGTTTGAGAAATAGATGATTGTTCCCTTTTACCTTTATAGGGTTAACTATACATATCCCTCCCCCCAAACATATACACCTGAAGACACCAAATTTTGTCCCGTTATATAATATATATCATTTAATGTCGTTACATTACATAATATACTTACATTATAGATTATATTATATAATAGTTTATTACATTTACATACATTTAGTTTACATGTCACAGGTCCGTTTCACAAATAAAAAACGTTTGCAGGCCCAACAAATCGCTGGAGTGCAGCCCACCACGCATAGGAATAGGGTTTTCTGGAAACCCTAGCTTGCCTCCCTCTTGTCCCAGCCGCCAAACGCCTCGACCGTTGGATCTAGATGAGATCCAACGGTCCACAATAGACCCTATTGTAGGGTTTTAACCTTCACTCATTTCAGTGCCACAACTGTCCCCTTGCAAGAATCCTCGTGTCCCACGTCTCACCAGGAGCCTATCCCCGGTTATCTCGGCACCAGTTCCCGATCCCCTCGGCGCAAGGAAAGCACACGAAGCCAACCATAAACAACAAGCAAGACAGCGTGTTAGTTTAGGACTTCAACAACCAAGCCGAGTTTTACTCGGATTAAAATTCTAAGATAGGGGTATTTGTTGTATTATAAATAGAGATCTAGAGGAAAGAAATAAGGGAGGAGACTGGTACACAAACACCACACATCTATAGCAAATATAGGGAAGCAAGCCGAATCTTTGTACAACGTTTGAAAGGAAATAAAGGTAGTGTTTTTACCTCGTTTTGTTCGTCCTTGGTTTCTTGCATGTGTAGTTACTCGCGTTTTGTGCTTGAAAACCCCAAAGAAAAACATTAAAAGCCGATGAACGGAGTAAGGGTGTACGAAAATTTCTTTTCTAGATCTGCACCCCTACGAGGCTTATTTTAGAAAATGGTGGTGTTTTTCGTGTCGAGGGAGAGAAGGGCTTTCGAAAAAACCATTTTTTTTAGGTTTTGCCGCCGATGAACGGTGGTCGTCGCCGTTCAACGGCAGCAGCGAGGCGGTGTATGGTTACCGAATTCTGGAAATCCGCCGTGTTCTTCATATATGAAGAACATGCGAGAGAGAAATGAAATAGGAGGGGGGGCTTTTGATTTCTGAGGAAAGAAATGAAACTAAAAAAATTTTGTTTGAGTCATATATCAAACCCGTTCCAGCCTTACGACCTGACCCGATGAACTCCTCGGACCCGCGTGTTTTTGCAAGAAGAGAGAGATTTGCGTTTTGGTTCTCCAGTTTCAAAAACATTTAATTTGGTCCTCTGAATCGATTATTGAACCCGAAATCCTTGTAAATTGACCCTTGAGTTTATTTTGTTTTCAATTTAATCCCTACTATTATTATATACTATATTTTCATTATTATTATATTTTATTCCCTTATATATATATATATATATATCTTATGTACATTTTTATTTTATTTTATTTTATTTATATTTATATATATATATATACATAACCATCATTATTTTTATTATTTTAGGTATTATTGATAGCGTATATAAACATATATATATATATTTTTTTTTCTTTTATTATTATATGTATATTCTTTATATTTTTTCATTTACTTTATTTATTTTTATTCTATTGCGTTTCCTTTTTATTTAATACATGTTTTATTTGTATTCCTTTGTTTTTATATAATTTTCATTTCTTTGTTTGTATGTTTTTTTGCTATTCATGCATATATATGTATATATACATTTATTTAGTATATTTTTTTATTATTTCTTTTCCTTTATTTATCTTATTTATCATTAGTTTATTTGTATTGTCTCCTCTTATTTGTATCATTGGTTTTGTGGTTGTTATATCTTATTTATTTTCACCACTCCAAACGTAACGTTTTCTTCTTAATGGTCTTCATTCAATTAATCAGTGGTAAGTAATTTAGGATCAAATTTTACCTTTTAATTTAAAATTACAACTTTCTTGATAAAGACAACTGGAAATTACGTAGTACCGAAAGGGTGGTTCAAGGGTGCTAATCCTTCCTTGACCGTAACCGACTCCCGAACCCGACACGTTTCTGGTACAACGCAGATCAGGTAAGAAATAAGGTATCCGATCAACCCATTTTTAATAAAATAAATGGTCGGTGGCGACTCCAATACATTTAATCTAAGTCGAAGCCCAATTCCGGGGCCCAACCGAAAGACGGTTGCGACAGCTTGGCGACTCCGCTGGGGACTCTCAAGTGAGTCAGGCTAAGGTAATTTTCAGTTGTCTTTTTAACGAAAAGGGTAAGTTTAAATTTTAAGGTAACATTTCGATCCTTATTGCTTACTTTTGATTATATTTTTTCGAGTAAATAGTTGTACTAACCGTTTTCTCAATGATTTCAGCCCTTAAAGTCTTTTTTCATCTAAGGCTCTAAACCCGAGCTCCGAACCCGTTTTAAGTGGGGGTGAAAACGACGCATTCGTGTGAATTTATTCACCGCATATGCCTAGCAAGTAGCCTTCGGGATTCATATACCTTATGTCTTCGTGTGAATTTATTCTCCGCATAGACATAAGGGAATGTGTCCCCTCGAGTTTAACTTAGTCCACACAAGCCTGTGATGGGTTTAGGACTAAGGGTCTGGTAAGCCCAAGGGGGCACCAGCAAGGAGAACTCGGGTATCGTTTTTTAGAACCTAAACCAGGAGACTTCGAAGAAATAGAGCCTGCCCCAAAACCACATTCCAAAACCAAGGACATTTCTTTCCTAACCATTTGTTTTTCCTTATGTTTTTTCTTGCCATTTATTTCTTGTTATTTTTATTTATTTCCATTTATTTTTATTTTACTAACTATTTGCCTTTGTGTTTGTTTTTTAGCATTTGCATCATAGCAAGAGGTCATTGATCCCTAAAAAGACGTTCATTACGCACAAAATAATCTGAATTAATGGATAAAGGTGTTGTAATACAAGAGATTAAAAACCCTGAGGTACGGCTATGGTCCGAGAAGACTCAGAAGGAAAAGGGAGACAGTATTCAAGACAGCTATGTGTCAGAGCTGGTTAGCTACTCCTCGATCAGCCTAAAGCAGAATGACGTACAAGAGCTCCGGGACATCTGGGACAGTTGGAAGAATGAGGTGAAACAGAAGTTCAGCCAACGGTACGGTGATGTTGCACTTTTGCTTCATGTTAAGATTGATGAGCCCCTAATTAGAGCCTTGGTTCAATTCTGGAACCCGGGATACAGTTGCTTCACCTTTAACCGGGAAGACATGGTGCCCACCATAGAAGAGTACACTACACTGCTGCATTGTGAAAACATCAAACTCGAGCGGGCCTACCTTAAGCACATTAAAAGTCAACCTTTCAAAAATGCACTAGCTAAGGTTGCCGGAGTTGATGAAAAATGGGTAACTGACCGAGCTTGATGTAAGGGTAGTGGAGAATGAATCGCTTGGCTTCATATCAAACAACTAATGAAGCACCATCCCGATGAGTGGAAGACAATAGACCTGTTTGCATTAGGTCTGTATGGTCTAATTATATTCCTAAAGACCTTGGGATACATCGATGCCACCGTAGTGGAGCTATTCGAACAACTCTCGAGAAGAGTCAATCCAGCACCAGCCATCTTGGCTGAGACCTTTCGATCTCTCAATCATTGCCGAAGAACTGGCGGAGGAAGATTTACCGGGTGTATTCAGCTCATTCAGGTCTGAATTCACAGCCACTTCTGGAAGACTAACGGGGTTGCCTACCGCCGTTTCAGCACCACCTATTCACCTCTAGGTGAATTCATCACCTTGAAATGACATGAAGGCGCTTCGAAGGAAAAATGAATGAAGGTCTTTACACATCTTCAGGACCGAGATATTGTCTGGAGAGCCCCCTGGTTATTCCTCAGTGATGTTCTTTTTCGATGTGGTGACTCCGACACTGTGACCTTACTTGGACTTTGGGGTGCAGTTGGGTATGCCCCATTGTTAGCACTTAGACAGTATGGGGCACGTCAGTTTGTCCCAGCAATATATGGACTAGCTAGATCAG